AAGTTTTGGGGGGATAAAGTCTCTAATAAAGCATCACAATTTTTTCTCCATCAGGAACAAAGGTAAAATCAAAATACAAAGTAAACCTTTCCTGGTTATTCGGTGTTACATGTTCTATATTGTGAAGAAGTACAAGAATATCCACAGAAATGCACATGGGAGTGATGGAAAGGCTACAAAATAGATTTTTGGAGGAAATGATCTGTGTCTCCACTGAGACTTGAACAGGAAAAATAATAATCATAAATAATTGTGAGGAGAGTATTTGAGAACAAATTTGTAACTGACAGACAGCCTGAGAGCCACCAAATGATATACTAAAAGAAACAGTGGGGTTTTCTTCAGTGGAGAGTATTGAGGAAAGAGTATTACTGCCTTCCACTTATGGTTTCATATCTGTTCTCCCCAAAGACACGTGTACTTGAAACCCCTCCTGGCCCCGTGAGAGCAGATTCAGTGGTCGTGATGAGATTGTGTGCATTAGAATCACTTCTCCTGGAAAGGAGATGCTAAAGGGTACTCGAATAAAATATTAAAATTATGAAGGACATAACAAAGGCCAATCAGTCCTTTCTTTTCCCCAGACCCCATAATATGAGAACAAGGGTTATTTGATGAAATTAAAGAGTAGCAAATTAAGTGCTAATAAAATGAGATAGTCACTTATAATTCATTACCATGGGAGGTCACAGAGGCAAATTCTGTGGCTAGATTAAATATGGGGCTGGATAATTTTATGACCACTAATGATATTTTTAGCAGTGGAGGCTGATATTCGGAGAGAAGTAATTGTATTACATTCTCCAGTAGATGGTTTGCAGGGACCTCTGGCAAAGCGGTACCTGAGAAGTATGAGAGGAGGTCTTGCAGGTTCTAACCTTTGGTGGGGAACCGCAGTAGACATCCCTTTTTAAGGTGAATGTCTTCAGAACGACCTCAGTCCCGATTCCTCTTGTGGAGATCCACAAGTCCTTTTTGACCAGAAGCAATTGGGGGACAGAGTTTCCTTATGCAAGATGAGTAGGTTGGGGAGATCTGTCGTACAGTAATGTGGCTAGAGTGAACTGTACTGTATTGTGCACTGGAAGTGTGCTACAAGGGAGGTCTTACATGTTCTGAGTACACACACAAACAAGGCAGATGTGGGAGGTGATGGTAATGACCTTGATTGTGGAGACTGATTTACAGTGTCTCTCCAGTGTATGTGAAAACGTCAAGTTGCACACTGTAAATATATACAGTTTTTATTTGTCAATTATACCTTAATGAAGCTGGTGGGGGGGGGAGAATAAACACTACATCTCTTTTAAAGAAGCAACTGGGAAAGACTTCCAGAATCAGATAATTTCCTGACCTTGGGGACCATTTAGCTCATTTATTGAACGCCATGCATGTATTGGGCACTTTGGTTGGATTTTTACGTATCTGTTGGGAGAGTAGACATGTAGAGAAGTCGGTGCCATCCAGAACGAAGGGGACTGTGCTAAAGGTGGCCTGTCAGTGAGCACGGGACAGCGGGGAGGCAAGAACAGCCCAGCCTCTGTGGGTCAGAGAAGGTTCACAGCAAAGGCGACACTTGAACTGAGTCTTTTTTTTGTTGAGATATAACTGACATATAACACTGTGTTAGTGTTATGTATACAACATTGTACAGCATAATGAGCTGATAAATGTATTGTTGTGAGATAACTACCACCATAAATTTAGGGAACATTCATCACCATGCAGTTATAATTTATTTCTTGCGATGAGAACCTTTAAATGACTTTTAACTATGCAATACAGCATTACTAACTACAGTCACCATGCTGTCCATTACATCCACTGACTTATTTATTTTGTAAGTAGAAATTTGTACCTGTTGTCCCTCTCTTTACCCCTTTCATTCATCCAACCTCTGCCCATGGCAACCACCAACCGGTTCCATGTATTTATGCATTCAGGCTTTTTTAAGTTTTTATTTTTTTAGCTTCCACATGTGAGTGAGATCATACAATATTTGTCTTTCTTTTTCGAAGATTTTACTTATTTATTTATTTATTATTAATTAATTAATTATTTATTTATTTTAGAGAGAGGGGCAGGGGAGGAGAAAGAGAGGGAGAGAAACATCAGTGTGTGGTTGCCTCTCCCACACCCCCACACTGGGTACCCAGCCTGCAACCCAGGCATGTGCCCTGACTGGGGATCGAACTAGCAACCCTTTGGTTCCTAGGCTGGCATGCAATCCACTGAGCTGCACTAGCGAGGGCTATTTTTCTTTGAATGAATTATTTTATTTAGCATAATGCCTTTAAGGTCTATCTATATTGTTACGAATGTCAAGATTTTCTTTTCCATGACTGAATAACACCCCATTTTATACACACACACATATGGCACATTTTATTTATCTGTTCTTCAGTGCACAGTTAGGTTGTTTCCCTATCTTGGCTACTGTAAATAATGCTGCAGTGAACACAGGGGTGCCAGTGGCTTTTGGATTTAGTGATTTCTGTTTCCTTTGGATAAAAATTCCAGTGGCATTGTTGGATCATTTGGTGGGTCCTTCCTTCCTTCCTTCCTTCCTTCCTTCCTTCCTTCCTTCCTTCCTTCCTTCCTTCCTTCCTTCCTTCCTTCCTTCTCCCTCTCTCTGTCTCCCTTTTTTTTTTTTTTTTTGAGGAATCTTCATACTGTTTTCCATAGTGGCCATATCAATTTACATTCCCACCAACAATGCACAAGGGTTTTTTTTTTTTCCACATCCTTGACAACACTTCTCATCTTTTTGATGATAACCATTCCGGCAGGTGTGAGGTGATACTTCTTCGTGGTTTTGATTTGCATTTCCCCAACGATTAGTGATGTTTAGCATCTTTTCATGTACCTGCTGATCACCTCTCTGTCTTCTTTGAGAAAAATGTCTGTTCACGTCCTTGACCTGGGTCTTACAGGTTGAGTGAGAGTTCATTGTGCAGGCAGGACAAGGAAAGGCATTCTAGGCAGAAGGAGCCAGTGGCGTGCACAGGTCCAGGGATGGAAGAGACAGCATATGTCGGTGAGCTCCCCTCACTTTGCAGAGGCTGTGCCACATGCTCAGTTGGCAGAGAGGGAGAAGCAGGCGAGGGAGGAGAAGCCAGATCATGAAGATTGCGATTGCTTGACCCCTCTCTCTGGCAGCCGCGGTGGTAGTGGGCGGGGAGTAGAGAAGAGCGGGGGAGGAGCTTGCAGGAAGGCTCTAGGGAATAAAGGACGGCCCCTCACAGCCTGCCCGCCCCACGGTCACATGCTTCCATCTTTCCACCGCTGTCCGCTGGTGGTGAGAGCCTTGTCTGCCACCCAAGGGCCTGCTTCACTCATTTTCACTATCTGCCTGAAACAGTCTTGACCGTGAACCTGATCACCATTACTAGTAATTAAAAAGAGTCCCCTGTCTTTCCTCAGAGAGAGGTTCTCATAGGTCTCAGATAAATTGGATTGAGTCCAGTATGTCTGTTTGGTCTTTGGTCTCATTCTCTTGGGCTTTACCAAGAACCCCAACAATCTTTGGGTGGGGAGAAAAGAGGCAGATTTCGTTTGCCTGACCTTAGACTCCCAATTCTCTGTGAGACTGGCTCAGCAGACAAGCAGGAAAATATACAGTGTCTTTGAGGAGCAGATGGATTGAAATGTTAAAAATCTGTTTGTTAAATGATTTCAGCTAACAAAATAATTAGGAAAAAAAGCACCCAGACTATGTGCCTCTTTCAGTGATATTTAAACAAGAATATCATTACTAATCACTCAAATGCTAACTTGGAATTTTTATACCATTAAAATTGATAAGAAGAATCAAATGGAAATGAGAGAGAAAGAATGTCTTTTGTAGAAATGGGTTTTCTTTGTGGTTTTATCTTTGTGGTGGACGCAAATACTTTATCATTTGTGTTGTTACATAGTACAGGATGCAATGAACAGTTTTCCCCATCACAAAATAAATAGTTGTTGAATTGTGACACATTTCCTAATGAGTAACCTTTCTACCGTAGTCTTTTAAGGCTCCTCTAAGAAGATTCTTTAAAACCATGAGGTTGCTAGAGGGATATAGAAGTGAGGTTACAGAAGGTAAATGGGTCCATGTCCCATTTACTGTGAGGCGCCTGTGTTACAAAGTGTGGGCGGGTGCCGTGGAAATGCACGTGCAACAGACACTGTGTTTGGTTTAGACACTGAAAGATGAATAAGGTCACGACTCAAAATATAGGAAGTACAAGAGACAATTTTACTGCAACTCCTTGATGAACTAAATGCAAGTTCCATAGTAGAAGTATATCCAGCTGTGGGCTCTGGGGGGCTGGCGGTGTTTTCACAAGGAAACCCACTTAGACTGGGCCTTGAAGTAGAAATTACAGACGACCAGAGAGAAAAGAGCGTGGGATGGCGGTAGGAAGGAGCATTTCAAAACCAAAGCCACAGTGATAGATATCTCCTGGAGTTTTGAGCAGCTTGTTTGCATTTTTCTGACTTCTGTTATATCAATGTTGTAATTTCTAATACATTCTGAAAAATTCTCCTTTTAGGAAGGAATGGGCTGTCGCATATCAGCATAGAGTAGATATTAATCTTGTCAGTAGGGGGTAGTAATCAGGGATACCTGTAAGCCCCCACATTAATTCACTTAAGTGTGTATTAATCACTTGCTCTCCTGGACCGGGCACTCACACATAAGTCTTTGCTGTCAGGAGTGAGGCACGTGGCCTGCGTAACACAACAGTCCCCCCCATTGTTAGATGTGTCTGTGTAATGAATCAACACCCGTTCTCACCCTGAATGTACTGAACTTTACACGAAGTATGCCTTTTCACGCCTGGGCGTCTTTCAGTAAGGCTCTTTATTTGTAATTGTGTGAAAAAGAAACATAGGCGTTAAAAGAACTTTCATGCCAAATGATAAATACAGCCTTTCAAGGACCATGTAAAAGATAGGTGAATATATTTAATAATATTTTTAAACTTTATAAGGTATTCTTCATTCCCCTTTAGACCTCAGCTGGATCTCCAAAATACAAGTGAATCAGCCGGCAGTTCTGAGGCGGGCAGAGCAAATCCAGGCGCGCAGAACCGTGAAAAAGGAGTGGCAAGTAAGGGTTCTTCTCGAACACTCTGTTCCTATCGTTTACAGTGGCTGGGCTCTTCCCTCAAGGCCACAGTATTGAATTTTGCTCAAGATGCATCTAAACTTAAAAGATTGCAGCTGTCCATGACTTATTTTAATAATTCATGTAAGATGATGATGGGTGGGAGAAAGATAACACATTTATCCCAACAAGTTAAAAATGTTATCACTCTTGAGTGGCAAAGCCGCAAATGATTTCGAGGCATCTTTATTCATGAGTGCATTAAATGGCATATTTTCTCAACACATTTATTCAGTTTCTTAGACATACCTCCTTCGGATGCCATCTATTTTAATTTTCCAACCGTAACATCTACACCTGATGTGTTCACCGCTGAGGCCCTTAGGTGGCCTCCTTTGACCATCATGTTTTCCCGACTGTTAATTTTCATGAATCATTTTTCAAAGTTCAGAAAACGATGTTTTGTGGAGGGCTTGTGGTAAGCATGTTCTCCTGGGGATACCAACCCAAGACGTGCTGTGCATCGCGGGACTGACGGGAACTGAGACTTCACTTTACCAGGGAGGCACCGTGTTGTGGTCGGATCCTTTCGGGTGATAGCTCACATCGTGTTCATCCTTGGAAATATTCTGATTGAAAAGTTAAAAGGAAATCTGTCAGAAAGCGTTGTGAAATATGAGTATTATTTTAAAAATGGAATTGGATTCAATTGAAACAAACCAAGTTCAAGTTCAGGAGTCTTTTTTATAATGCCTCACCCGAGATCCAAGGGTTGGAGGTAAAATATAAGATAGAAATGCTCTTGTTCCCACCTTGCCCCATCTTGGGGTATCCACGAAGGGCTTCTTTGAATGAGAGAAGTCAGGTGTGGGGAAACTTGATTTATTAAGGACTTAAATTGGGACTGTCTATGGGAGAAAAAAAATTAAGGCTGCTCTTTCACCCTCTTATTCAGTTCTACATAATGTTTGTGGTGTTGGTCACTGTCGAGCAGTTGGGATCGTGACAGAATGACTGGCCTTGCAGCAACAGAGACGTCAGAGTTTAGTATGCGTGTCTGTGTAGTGAGTCTCTGCTAACTGGGTTGCAGGTTCGTTTTTTTAACCTTATTTTATTTGTCTTCAAACTAGGCTGCTTGGCTTCTGAAAGCTGTTACCTTTATAGATCTTACTACACTTTCAGGCGATGACACCTATTCCAACATTAAAAGGCTCTGTTACAAAGCCAAGTACCCAATCCGGGAAGATCTCCTAAAAGCTTTAAACATGCACGACAAAGGTACGTTATGGTGAATCTGTGGTGTTTACCTCTTTACAATACTGATGACTCAACCTAAGAGGACTTAGGATTCAATTGCTAAAATGATGATACCAGCAATAAAATCCACAATGGAATTATGTACATAGACAGGTAGTTGAGATCTTGTCTCTGAAAATGGCAGGGAAAAAATCTGAGTCTTATGTTTAGGTCAGTTCTTACCATCATGGATTAAAGTTTCTGGCAGAGAGTTTCTCAGTTTTTCTTTCTGCTTCTTCAGTTTTAGAAATTTTCCATCTAGTGAGTCTAAAATACTGATTCTGATCCCCTAGCCCCATGCGGAAAAGCCAGTCTCATTACTTAATAATCACATCTCATACATAAAGTATTTTCTGTGAGTAAATGGAATACTTCTGAGAATAAAATGCAAATGGGAAATATTGCATGCTTGTACATGAGCTGAGATCTTTTGAAAAAGTTACATTCACTCTTTTAGTATACATGAAAGTACTTACAGCAACTTTCTAGAGTTGCTATAAGTACGGAACCTTAACGTTTTAGAACGAGAGGAGACCTCTGAGAGTTGATCACCTTATTTCTAAGTGAGGAAGCCGAGACCTGGAAGGCGAGATGCTGTTTCCAAGGAGACGTGCCCTGGGACTCGCTGGGCTGGTTTTAGGAGCCAGGGCTTCCCAGGAAGGGACCTGTCTGGAGTGAGTGCAACCGGAGATGTTGCATTTGGCTAGTAATTCGTAGATAAATTGTAGACCTAAAAAACTCTACAGCTTTTGAAAAATATTTATGATGTTTCTTTAGAGTTGACAATAAAAACAGCACCTATTAATAGCACTGAACAGTAGTGACTTTGGGGAAGCAGGACTAAAAAATGTAGTAACCCCATAGGAGCTTTATGCTATTATGCTATTGTTTTCTTTTTTAAGTGGCTATTTGGTCTTTTAATTTTTTTAGAAGCTTACACCTCAAATTGGGGGTGTCAGATTTATATTGTATTATTTCTTACAAAAGAGGGTACCTAGGATTAGTTAAGTGTTATTTTGCTGTACTACCTACCCTGTAAGGCTCACTTCCACTTTTTTTAATTCACTGTCTGACTGCTGTACAAATCTGGATTTTGTTAATTGCATGAAATAAGATATTTTGATCCAGGCAAGACCACCAAGTTTCTTATTTAAGAATTTTTTTTAAGTGATGTTATATTAACTTCAGAGAATGCACCTCAATTGTTCTGTTATGACCATAATGGTGAGAAAGGGATCCAGGTTGTCAGGAACTGGAAGGGAATGTGGAAAATAAAATCCTTTTCATATTTTTTTTTTTGGTGACATTGTAGGGGAATTACTGCTTTCCCTCCTTTGATTTCTGCCGGTGTTATGTTATAAATAATAATTAAAAGCACATTGTGCCACTTGAACTTCTCACACAGGAGGCTGCTCTGCTTGCTCTCTTCACAGGCATCACCACAGCGGCCGTCTGTGTCTACCCGGCGCGCGTGTGCGACGCAGTGAAAGCGCTGAGAGCTGCAGGCTGTGACATCCCTGTGGCGTCAGGTGAGACTGGTGTGGCCTTTGTTGTTGTCCAGCTGGTTTCCAGCTCTTCTGCTCACACGCCTAGGGGCATTATAGTTTTATACCATTATTTTGATTAGTTCTATGTATTTGATTGGTTGTATTTATTTGTTCTTTTAGTGTTTATTAATTGCCTTCTAAGTAGCAATGAACATTTAGTGATTAAGTAATTACTAATTCCCTTAAAGGGAATTATATTAATTCCCAAGAGTATAGAACTGTTTCCCTGTTCTTAAGATAACTTAGTTATTTTGGAAGAATAGTTAAGTTAAAAAAACCATAATGCCTGATATGTAATATTTTACATATATGTAAAAATATGATAATAAGGACATGTGGAAGGTACAGTTGTAACTCTGAGCAGGGACTGATTTATTGTGCAGAGGTTGTTGACACTGAATAAGGGAATGCTTTGTCAGGTAACTGCCCTGGGTCTTAGAGGGTAAGGAGGAGTTTACAGTGTTGATAAGGAATGGCATTTCAGATGGAGGAACCAGTGTGGGTGCAGGCACAGAGCCTGTCGGTGAAACTGCTGGTGGTTTGCAGTTGTTGGATCCTAAGGTGGGATAGAGCTGGAACTGTGGTGTGGGGGAGCTTTACCTGCAGGGCGCCCCCACCCCCAGCCACCACAGATGAGAATAAGTCTACCAAGACATGATCTGCTTGGGGAGGAAAGGTGGCTGGTCTCTCAAAGGAGAAGGGCCAGGAGCTTGTTCCTCAATGGGGTTATATTGTGTTTAATTTGCATATGAATACAGGGCATATAGGTAAAGCTCATCAGTCATTGTCAGCCAGTAATGATCAAACAATAGAAAACTTTCAAAGAACTCTGAGGGCTTATTCTGAGTTAAGGTCAGATAGCTAAAGTGCCATAAAACTTTGGGGAAACAAACTCATGTTATGCTTGGACCCTTTTCATTTAAATTGAGGGTATTAGCAAAGCAGGTTTTATAGGATTTTATGCATTTTTTTCTTAGGCCTGATCACCCTGGCGAATCTGCCCTTTCCAGAACAGGTTGCACCCACCTCTAGCATTGTTTCAGGCTTAAGGCATTATTTCCGGCTTAAGTCTGGTAGGGGAAGTAAGGCAGCCAAGAGATTAGGGCACTTCTTGTAGACAGAATGAGAACTCAGGCTATGTCAAAGCCAAGGGGTGAGAGAGTCCATCACCCCCTTTTTCTATAGCCCCCCAAGTCCTTCCCTGAGGGCCCCTTCACAACCATGCTTGTCTTAGGTTGTTCCTCCTTTGAGGAATCTTACTTGTCATTGGCTAACTGGTCATCAGCTCTGGGCCAAGCAGGGTGAAGTAAAGGGGAGCAGAGTCAGCACCCCTACAAGGAAGATAAGCTTTGTCTCCTTAATGGCCCAAGGTTCTTTTACTCAGCCTTAGCCACGGCAGATTACAGCTTCTGAAACCAGGCAGGGCAGTTCCCAACACTGTAGGAGTTGAAGCTGGAGATCTATTGGGAGACCATGCCATGGTTTGGCATTTGGGGAAGGTACTGAAAGGTTTTAAGCAGAGACAGGCCATGATCAACTTTATGATGTACTGAGTTAGGGCATGATAGTGGGCAAATTTGAGAGGGTGAATTAGAGTTAGGGAGACTTATCACTGTGTGTGGGAGACGATGAGAGCCACCTTAAAGCCTGGAAAATAAAGAAAAGAGGGTATGTTAGAGTTATTGGCTTAAGGTAGACACTGTAGGATTTGGCATAAAGGAAAGAAAATTCTTTTTAAAAGCTTCAATGTGTGTGTGCATGTGTGTGTCTGCCTCATATCAGATGGATGGACAATAGAGGTAACAGTAGATCCTACTTTTAAAAGATGTTGGAGGCCCTGGATGGTGTAGTTCAGTGGATTGAGAGCAGCCTGTGAACCGAAGGGTTGCCAGTTCCATTCCTAGTCAGGGCACATGCCTGGGTTGTGGGCTAGGAACCCAGTTAGAGGCATGTGAGAGGCAACTGATCAATGTATCTCTCACACATTGGTGTTTCTCTCATTCTTTCTCCCTCCCTCTCCTCTCTAAAAATAGATGAATAAAACCTTAAAAAAAAAAAAAGATGTTGGAGGAATATCTCGGTGCTTTAAAAAAGGAATCTATAATGATGATTAATTTATTTGATCAGAAACACATCAAAGAAACATAATATACAGTATTTATATACAACCTTTGTGAAGATTCCCAAAGTATTTGGTAGCTATACCTTTATCGATGTTAATTTTTCATCAGCTTCGTTCAATTCAGCTTTTCCTCTGTACAACAGAGAAATGTGCTTTCCTCTAAGGTAGCAGACCCAAGGCATTTATTAACATCAAGGCAACACGACAGGTTATGTTTAGACCCCAGAATGGAGTTAATGATGCACTTGTACAAATTGGTAATACTTTTTCAAAAGTGTAGTTGTATGTTCACTTTTCCTTTTATTTATACTTGGCCCTGCTCTTCCCAGCTCTGTCCCTGTCCCAGTTTTCTGGACCAATCAGGTGTTTTTTCATTATTCTCTTTCCTTTATTTCTATTTCTTTGGCTGGTTGTTTTAAGGTAGGCAATGAGAGAAACATATATTACACTTTGGTTACAACAGCTAAAAGTGTGAATGATAAATCAAAAATACATTGATGGACCACTGATCAAGAGTAGGATTCAGAATTAGTGCCCATCAAGGTATGGATGCAGCTACTATTTGATGAGCATCAGTGTGATGATAACATTTTAAAATTTCTATTTACTCAGAGCAGCCTCATGAGCATGTCTGAAGCAATTTAATTTCGGTCTAGAGGATAGAATACTAATGTTTGTCCTAATGCCAGTACTATGTGAGATTACCTTCTGTTTTCTTCACACTTAGCTTTTCAGGGTATGCATGAAATTCTTAAGTGTCATTAATGCATTAGTCATTAAGTGCTGTGTTTTTTTTTGGTCTGAAATTGTTTTTTGAGATACCAAATAAAATTCCTTCCTTTTTTTTTTTTTGTTCTTATTTTCTGCTAGTGGCCACTGGCTTTCCATCTGGACAGACTCATTTAAAAACACGATTAGAAGAGATCAAATTGGCTGTGGAAGATGGAGCTATGGAAATCGACGTGGTAATTAACAGGACCCTGGTGCTGACAGGCCAGTGGGAAAGTAGGTACATGTCCTACGAGGGAGATACAGTTCTTTCTTGGCAGATGACATGGTGGGGATCTGGAAGGAGAGAGCATATTTTAGAAATTACTGATCCAGATCATAGATGTTTGGATCAGAGGGTGCATCTAGGAGAAATCATGGCTAAGATCACTCATCCTTGTATAAATCTTAGAAGTTGCCTGTCTGCATGAGCTTTTTAGATTTCCTTTTGAGTGCTTAGGTGAATAGTTATTTCCATGCAATAGATTATTAACTTTTACTCTATTCTGTATTGCTTTGTTACTCAATGCAATAATCACTCCAGGCAAGTCTTTTATGCAAAGTTTATTTTAATATGATGGAGGAAATTTTTTTATGCTAATCTTTGTGGTTTTTAGAATGTGGAATTATTAATAACTCTGCTAAGCCTGTTCTCCTATTTTTGCACATAGCTTCTGTGAATACTATTTCATATTCATCTTTGAGATTCATGACTTATTATCCGGCTGATTACAGTAAGACATTGCCCGTTCCAGTAACACGCTGTTGTTTTTTATAATTAGATAGTAAAGAAATAGACTTTACCTCTGTCTTAAGTATATTTTGTACACTAGAGATCACTAATAGCTAAAATAAGTACAAGTTCCTATTTTTTAAAAAAGTTATTATAAAAAAAAGTAGTTTAACTAAAAATTTTTAATGCTATTTGTAGATGTATGAATATCAAATAAAAGACATATTTTATTCTAATTATGGAGGTTATGCCCGATCAGTGTTAAACATAAAAATGCCAACCAGTAATGAAGGAAGGTGTGTGTTCCACATAATCTGCTCCCCTAGAAACAACCCTGCAGTTTTCAACTCTTCAGACTTTTTTCTTCATTGTATTGACATGCAATTTCCACCCTTTTTACAAGTTTAAACAAGAAGTAAGATTGTATTTAATGTATTTTTCCTCAGTGTACCCGTTGGACTTGCCAATATCTCATGAGTATCTTTCTGTGACTCTGTCATCCCATCTCTCTTCTTCCCTGTAACTCCTCATTCAGTTGTTTGTCCGTATAATGGCCAAACAAAAAAGAGTAAAGAAGCAAGAATTCAAAAAAATGAGGAGAGTCTTAGGAACCTCCAGGACATCTTTAAATGCCCCAACATCCAAATTATAGGGGGAAAGGAACAGCCACCAGTGGAAAACTTATTTGAACAAATAATAAAGGAGAACTTTCCCAATCTGGCAAAGGAAATAGACTTCCAGGAAATCCAGGAAGCTCAGAGAGTGCCAAAGAAGTTGGACCCAAGAAGAAACACACCAAGGCACATCATAATTACATTAGCCAAGATTAAAATGAAAGAGAGAATCCTAGAAGCAGCAAGAGATAAGAGGACAGTCACCTACAAAGAAGTTCCCATCAGGCTGTCAGCTGATTTCTCAAAAGAGACCTTACAGGCAAGAAGGGGCTGGAAAGAGGTATTCCAAGTCATGAAATCCAAAGACCTACAACCAAGATTGCTCTATCAGCAAAACTTTCATTTAGAAGGGGAGGACAGATAAAGTGCTTCTCAGATAAGATCAAATTCAAGGAGTTCATCATCACCAAGCCCTTATTATATGAAATGTTAAAGGGACTTATCTAAGAAAAAGAAGTTAAAAAAACATGAACAGTGAAAGGACAGCAAAGTCATAGTTATTAACAACCACACCTAAAACAAAAGCAAACTAAAAGGACAGCTAGATCAGGAGTGAACCATAGAAATGAAGATCACATGGAGGGTTAGCAACAAGGGAGTGGGAGAAGGAGAAGGGGAGAGAAGGTACAGAAAATAAGTAGCATAGACAGTAGATAGAAAATAGATGGGGGGGGGCAAGAATAGTATGGGAAATATAGAATCTAAAGAACTTGAGACACATGGTCATAAACTAAAGGGGGGGTAATGGTGGGGATGGGGGGGTTGGGTGGAGGGGAATGAAGGGAATAGAACAACTGTAATGGCATAATTAATAAAAAAATAAATTTAAAAAAATTGCTCATGACTGTAGAGTAGCAGAGATTCCGTCGGTGGTTTAAACACTGAGGATTTAGTCTCATGTTAATTCTGGAGGTTGTTTCAGGGGTGTTGTGCAGCCTCACAAAGTTCTTGGAGAACTGCTACTTTTATCTTCCGCTTCTAAAGCCTGCAGCTTCTACTTGTGCTCAAGGGTCTTCACTGACTAAGACAGCTTCTGAATGAAGAAGCTCCAGCCATTGCACTAATCTGCTAGATAACAGGAAAGAAGGGCTTGTCCTATCCCCAAATCTCACACACTTTTGCTTACATCTCTTTGACCCTAACTCAACTGCATGGCCACGCGTGGCTGCAAGTGAGCTGGAAGATACAGTCTTTTAGGTTGGAATATTCACTACATTCCTGTACATTCTTAATATGTGAGGGGTGTGCATTTCTGTGCCCAGATGGAAGGGAGTGAGGGAAGTACTGATGGGAAGACAGTGGGCCATAATGAGTGAAAGTCGATGCAAAGGAGTGGCTGAAACAAAGCAAAAATGTTTAAATGAAAAGATATATGAAGTCAAAAGGCACAACAGTCTGGACCAGAGATTTCAGCCCTGGAGACTCTCAGCTGTGTCTAGGATGAAGCAATCAGGGATACAAGAGTTCTGAATATTCTAGAAGAATATATTAGGCCATTCTCATTGCTGTACACTCCCCTCTATACGCATCAGTGGTTTTAGCCCTTGACAGGTTTAAATTCTTGAGAGTTGACAAATATCTTTTTGTGCTTTTGATTTTTGTTCCCTTTCTTGTAGTCCACATATGGACTGCATTTTCATCATTACGTTTTTGCACTGCTTGCTGGAAGATTTTCTCAACTTCACTTCAAAGTATTTTATTGATTTAAAAATTATTTCTACTTTTATATTTGTAATTCGCATGAGATTTTTCTTGTTTATTTTACTTTTATTACATTCTGTTGTTTTATGGATGCAATGTCTGTTAATATAAGTTTTTTTAAAGCTTAAAAACTTTATAGGTATAGAAGTATAGTTTATATTGTAACTTGTGTTTTTTGTCTCCAGAATACTAATAAGTAAGAAAATAAAATACAGTAGGAAATGGATTTTGATGTAATTGGCAATCCAGTAATGAACTAGGAATGGTTGTTTTTAAGAACTGGTAATTTCCTAATGCATTCATGCAAAATATAATAACACATCTTTGTTCTACATCGTACTTTTCTATTAACCCTTTTTTATGGTGTTAATAACCTCTTGACCCAAAACAAATTGAAAAGGAATGTTTAATACTAGAAATTTAATTCTAAATAAAAATAAGCATGACTTAGGGTTTTTTCCACTGCAGTATTGTGTCTTACTTTCAATTTTCAATTTGATTACATACTGTATTTTTCAGTTTCATGTTTTAATATAAGCTGCTTATTAAAATATGAGTCTAAAATTGATTTCTTAGAATTTGCTGATGGACTGTCTGTCAGGCTATTACACATTCAAATGTGGGTCCTTCTCTCTGTGCCGAGGTGCGTAGGACGCTGGTTGAAGACAGAAAGAATCCCATTTTTCAAATCTAACATTCAAGGTGCCTCTCATCTGTTTCTTGTGGTCACAGAGGTCCACGATTTAGGGTGTGAACTCAAAGAAGAGACTGGAGGAAGCTCATATTCTTCTTAAATTCTTTGTGGTGGTGATTTGAAATCTCTACTTTTCTCAAACTTTGAAGTCTTCTGCCCACCTTGAGGCTCCTTTGTTCTTAGCAGATGACCTACCTGCTGCGTCTCAGAGAAGGTAGAAGATGCTAGACAGGAACTCCCTCAAGGCCCTCGCGTCAGATTGGCTTCTTGGGTTCCTTCCTCCCGAGTCCAGTTCCTCTGCTGCGCCATGGCTCCCATTTCCGTCCACAGAATTGGAGGGGCCTTACTCCATTTATTGGCCATTTTTCCCCTCCCTGTATCTTTTAGCCCCTTTCTACTTGCTCATTCCCACCAGTAGCTAAACATATGTAAGTTGTTCTTATTCATTAAAAAAACTCCACATACAAACATTCCCCCTCATCCCCAGTGAAATTCCCTTTCTGTTTTTCCGAAATAACTAAAATTCTTGAGTTTACTTATTTCTTTTGAATCTGTTCTAACCAAGATACCAACGACCTCTCATTTCACTATGCTTAGGGGATGCTCTTTGTTGTGTATGTGGTATTTGTCTTCACTGTTGCGCAGCATGGGACAGAATGCGCATTTCTCCCTTTTGGAAACACTCTGTTGTCATGGTTTTGGTGACTGTAGGTCCTTGAGGTGCCCTCACCCCCCCCCCCCCGGGGGATTCTGGTTACGTTTACAAGCTTCCCCACTTCCCCTGGCATCCCTGAGTGTCAGTGGTCCTCGGTTCCTGTCCTGGCAAGCTCTGGAACTTCCCCTCCAACTCTGCACGCTCCCCCTTGGAAAGCTCACTTCTTCACTTACTTTGGCTACATTCCTTTTGCTGAAGACTACCAACCCTCCGAACTGTCAGAACCCATGTCTGACTCCACAACTCATCTTCCATTTCCCTGCTAAAGTATGTTGCTTTTCACCCACCATTTTCACATAAGTAGACATTCAGAATCAGTGAATCTTTACCTAGTCAGAGAATCTAATAACCATTTTAGAAAAAAAAATTTTAAGTGTGTACATTTGTCTGACTTAAACACATTCTATTAAGCGCAATTTGATTTCAGCACTGTTGTATCCATGATTGTGTTTTACTGGAACACCGTGATTCTTCCGGGCTGAAATCTCTGAGATGACTTGCCCCACAGCTAATGGGCCAGACTGCTGTGCTTTCTGATTTCTGTATCTTTGCATGTAAACATTTTTGGTATTGTTGCTTTTGCCTGGTCCTTTGCCCCTGGGCTCTTTACTGTCACATCCTGTTTCTCTCATTCTGGCCCACTGTCCTCCCCTGTCACTTCTTCCCGCAGTCCTCTCCGTCCAGGCACAGAAATGCACGCCCCTCACTTGCAGCCCCTCA